GCACCTTATCACACTCTTGCAAGCTTTTTTTTTTCTACCCTGAAAATGGAAAAAAAAAAAAAAAAAAAATAGGTGGGGTGGGGGTAGGAAGCAGTTAGGACTTGTGCTGGTTAAACCCGATCTCTCCAGGGATTTGTTTCTCTTCTGGCTTCGGATTAGATGTTCAAATCAAGCAGTGTGTAAGAACTGTGAGTGAATGTCCATGGGATTCTTAGCAAGGCTAATCCTGGAGCACCCGCACATTCCAAGGGGGCCAATCTGCCCAAGTTCATTGCTTACTTGAAATGTCTCTTGGGGGAAGAGCCTGGCAAGAGACTTTTTTTTTTTTTTTTTTTTTTTTCTTTTTTGTTCAGTGGGCGGTCATCCGAGCATTATTAGCGGGATGGCCAGCCCCAGTCACAGCAAAATGAAAGCAACAGGAGCTGTGTAAGTTGACTGTCTTGTTACCAGCCAGAGTCGGTGCGCAGGTAAACGATTTCAGCTAACCTTTCTCTTGTTTGCCTTCTCCAGGTTGGATGTGTAGACTTAGAGGAACACACAGAGGGGGTGGAGAGAAAACAGGTAGAAATGAACATATATTTTGGTATTCTGTTCTGATAAAGACTGGGTGGCCTCTTGAAACTGGAGACTGATGGCGAGCAGCACAAAGAAGTGTCCCTCGTACTTTGTCCCCAGAAGTTCATCTTCCTTTCTTTTTCATCTTTGGATTACTTGTCTGGGTTACTGAGCTGCTAAATTTGTATTGCAACTGTTCTCTCCTGGGGAAGGGTTGCATCTACTGCTAGTATGGAGGTAAAGGAAGACAGAGCAAAACTGTTGGTGGTTTAATGTCGTCGGCAGCAGAGATCAGGGGAAAAAGAGTGAAACCTGTTTAAGTGGAATAACTTGATGTTTCTTTGGTATAAGACACTATTTACAGATTATTTACAGATTTGTTTTGCCTTCTTTCACCGTAATGCTTTATTGATTGCATGTTTAATTTTCAAAAGTAGCTCTTGCTTTTATTCCTTAGGGTAACCATTATACTTAGTTCAAAATGCAGATGCCCTGTTTCTGGTTTGAAAAAAAAAATGTTCTTTAATTATTAGCCTTTGAAAACATTTCCCTATTACACATCACACATGGCTGGTAGTGCAGAAAGACAAGAAAGAAACAGCCGCTGACACAGTCAGTCTGGTTACCTGACCGGTCTGCTTCCAGAAAAGAATGGTCAGAAAGGAGGACTGGAGACTTCTGCAGCATAATTAAAAAGCAAAGCTAAGAAGGCAAGTTCCCCACTGAAGTTTTGCAATAGAAGAGAACCGAAGTCAGCAGGAAATGCATGTCAGATGTATTGCATGCTTTTCAACAATGAGAGTAATCATTCTGCACTAACTTTGTTGCGTGTTGGAGCAAAGTCTAAAGTTTCATGCAGAGTAGCTCAAAGTCCTTGAACAAAAGAAAAGGGGAATTAATCTAGGCAACAAGTTAAACCATGATTGTACATCAAAATATGCCCTTTCAAAAAAAAAAAAAAAAAAAAAAAAAAAACTTAAATCCAGTATCTGTCCACACTAGCAACCCGAATAAAAGCACAATGAAGTCAACCCAACAATATAGCAGAATCAGTTATGCATGTTTTGGAGAAGTCCTAAGTTATGTTATGCACATATTTCTTCCTATGATAAATTATACTCGTCTCATAAACAAGAAGAGTCCAAGTTCGTTTTGAGTGATAGGAAGACCTTTTTACCTCACCTCTCTTTTCCTCCAAATTGTGCCTTGGCAAGGGAACATATTAATCTGCTAATGCGAAGAAACAGAAGTAGTTTCTCATCCCTTCACCCACAAAGAGGTTGCTTTTGTTCTTGAAGAATGTAATTAAGTTGCTGGACTGTACACAAGCCAAATCACTTTCCATTGAAAGATTAACAAACAAATTGACAGTCCATATGTAATAACTTTTCTGCACAGCATCTTACTGAAGCTTGCAGGACCTCCCAAATTGAAACTAATAATAACAGTGTCCTTGAAGTGTCTGATTCATTTGGCACAGCTCCCTGTTTTCTCAAGTTTAAAGTCCGGTTGTGATACCATTTCTTGGGTGCTGTGGAAATAATAACATTTCCCCCTTCTTTAACTTCTGTCTCATATATTAGGGTCTTCCTAAAGTGGCATCCCATCCATAACCCCAAGGGAAGAGGAAGAACAGGAGACAGAGAGTTAATCTCTACCCCCAAGTGTGAGGGCTAGACTTGGGAGGAAGAAGGGGAAGAAACAAGTTTGAACTAGTTCTCCACGTGCCACTAGGAGTCCAGTGTGGTCCAAACACAGCAGTAGTCCCAAGCACACATAAAGGACGTTCAGAACAAGTATTGTCTCCTCTGGCAAAGCAATGTATCCAAGGGTTAAGAGGAAAGATCCCGGGGCAAAGTTGTGCAAGGTCAAACTGTGGCTTTGGAACTCACTTGCTATATCTCTCTGGCTTTATTTTTTTTTTTCAATAATAAAATACATGTAGTATTGTAGAGGGCCCCTCCCCATCAGTGCTCTTCTGTGGAACTAAGTATGTAATGGACCCTTAACAAATATTAGTGACTATGCATCCTTGCTGAGCTCCTACCATGGGTTAGGTGTAAGATTAATTTCTTAGTCTGATTATCACAAAACCCTGCTTAGTAACTTGGGATCTATATGCTATACATGAAGCTCAGAGAAGGTAAGTAACTTTTCTTTATATCTTGTTAGTGGCCCGTCCCATGCTCTATGATCCAAACATAGATGGGAACCCACATATGTCCTTCTATATGAATTTATAGTATAAGAATCAGCCCAGAAGTTTAGCATGATGGTGCATGCCTTACTAAAAGTACTTGAGAGGCTCAGAATAGTTATTGCTGCAAGTTTATGGCTAGCTAGCTAGACTTAAGTGTGATTACCAGATTAACCAGGGCTGCAGAGTGAGAACCTGTCTCAATAAACAAACAAAAGTCAAGGCCAATCTCTTCTTGAAGTCAAGCATGGTACTCCCCAAATAATAACAACACAATATGTCAAGCATTATTATTTCACCCAATATATAGCTGGGAAAAATTGAAGATTAAAAAGAATTCCTACGTCTCCTCATCTACAAGAGTCATACTCATGCTCTTTTCTTAGCTGTAGACTTTACATCCTACCCATGCTGCTTTTCCAACTTCCTCTCCTGGAACATGGGCCAGTATTCACTGAAGCAGGCAGATGATGCCCCAAAAGATTCTTTTGAAGGCTTGCCAGGATGGGCTACACAAGTACATTCTTTCTCCACTGTTCCCCAAGGTGTAGGGAAAGTGGGTTTCAAATGTCCAGTGAGGAACATCAGATAACATCAACCAAAGTATTCAGGGTTTCAGCACGATGGCCTATGAATAGTTTCATTTACAGGCTTTTTACAAAGATAAAGATGGGTTAGCTTCGCTGCTGAGCTCATTTCTGTTGCAAAGATGGAGCCTGTAGCTTTTTCTACTGGTTTAATAAGGAAACTCTGAGATTTAGTTTTCATGCTCTGCTACAAACAAAACTAAAAGTGTCTTCTGTGTGCAAGAGGGTGCATGATTCGTCTAAACCTGGAGACCTAGAAGGCAGGGTGGGCTGCTCCTTTAAATGAAGACAATCTAGGGAAAAAATAAAATACATGTTCCCATTGTGACCATTACTGAAACAGAATACAGTGCCTTAATACCCCTCATCTGTCCTCCGTTTAGCAAGGTATAGAATATGCATGATTGTAAGTATTAAAGAACTATGGCTCTGGATGCCACATACATATACAGATCTCCATTGTATGGGACAAGGGAATAAGTGGACAGCAGAATTCACAGGGCTCAGATAGCACCGTGTGCCCAGGGAATGGGAACTAATTATACCTAGCAAGTGGAAGCTGGTAACAGTTCCCACCAGTTATTGACCGGGGTCAAGTAGACTGTTCAATTGTACATTGGGCCAGAATATTTTAAGACTATGATTTTAGATATGAAAGTGAAGTAGTGCCATATGAACTAAGATTTGTTCCAGTAGCATCCATCTTAAATACTTGGAAAGGAATCTTTTAAGGAATTTAGCAGATTTCATTGAGACATCTCTTCTGTTTCAAATGCTTCTGAAGGAAGTGGTCCAGGGTCTCCAGGCTTCTGGCATCATGACATGATGTTTTTATCTGCAAATGCGCAGGAATTCATTCGTATTTATGGTTGGATAATGTGTTCTGCAACCCATAGCTTGTACATGCAGGATAGATGCTGCTTGCCCGAAAAATATCCTTCAGTTTGACAGAATGTCCTTTGCCCATCTAGGAACCCCATACTGATGGCAGGGGTTCTAGTGGATGGTTTCAGCAACACCTTTTCTAAGAAGCCATACTATTGTGTATGTATGTAGGATGTAAAGGGAAATGTGCCCATTCCTACGCAAGTATTACCTGGGAACCTTGAGGTTATGCTTACATTTATCCTCTGTCTCCCCATTTCCTTTTGTCCTTCTCTGTTTTTCTGTATCACAAACTTGGATTTAAGAAACCTTAGTGATGTAACAGGGATTTTGAGTTATGTACTGCCTCTGCCATTTTCCTTTACTTCTATAAGGAAAATCTAATGGGAGCCTCGACCATGAAAACCTGATCTAGAACTAGATGTGTTTCCTCTGACTTTTGAATCTTTCTTTTCATGATTATAAATGCCATGTTCTGGTCCTTCAATTCCATTTTCTCTATGAATAGCCTTATGTTTCTGTCTTTTCGGAACCATAATGAACAAGTTTACAGTCCCATTACTAACACTTTTTCCAGCCTGGCTATTTCCTTTACTTCACAATATTATAATGTTAACCCAGGCAGCAGGTTCTGAGAATGGCTGGTTGGATGATATGCAGTGTGGAATCCATTTATGATATATACAGTATATTGTGTGATTACATGGTGTTGCTACCTAGCCAAAAAAATATTTAGATTTTATGCTCAATTTTCTTCATTCTCTCTCTTTTTTCAGGCTCAGAAATCCTGGATTGAAAGAGCATTTTATAAAAGAGAATGTGTTCACATCATACCCAGCACCAAAGACCCCCATAGGTAATCCTGTGGCCTTTCATACATTAAGAATGTGACGTGGTAATTATAGGGATAGAATACAATAGTAATTACTATCTCTGCAAGGGAACTACTGTCAAGTTAAATATATATTTGAAGCAAATATTTATTGAACTGCTTAATATCCATGGCTAAAGTTACCTTTAGATAAGTGTCTGTACACAGAGTAACAGATCCACCATTGTAGAAAGATTGAACCCTGTATATAACAACATACTATATTTTTGTTACAAGTACTTATTTTTCTGCCTTAACATTTTTTTCAAACTGTTTCATTGGTACAACATGTCCTGCTATAGTAAAAAGGAAAGTCTTGAGTAAAAGACACCTAGGGGATTAATTAAGGTTTGGACCTCCAGATTCCTCTGCACGTTTTTTTGGTACTGTAGTTACCTTCCTGAAAATCAGCAGTGTATAATGCAGGAAGTTGAAATAGGACATTGGCATCTGGAAATAAATGCCTTTTGAATGGGCAATATTAAAAGGTGACTTAAAATGCAGATTTTACAGCCATAGACTAGATGCCTAACCTTGGATACATTGCTTAAGCTTACAGTGCTGCAATAATTTATTATCAGTGTATCTTAAATTGTTAGTGTTTAAAAGAATGCTCTGTAACTATCATTACTAATAATTGTGATAATTAGTAATGGTCATCATAAGACATGAAGGACATTTTGGTGACAGAACAAATTTTAAGTCTCCCGATTTTTTTTTTTCAATTCTCCTTCAAAGAAAATCCTATAGATTTTTCATTCTCAGAATTGAATATTTAACTCAAATATCAATTGGAAATACAAGTTAGGTTGTGACTCACACATAAGTGAGAGTTCTGGTTTAAATATACATGTCAAAAGTCTTCTCTCTGAGCTCTTCAGCATCCTTCATGCAATGGGGGCAGTTAAAAGTGGGGAAAAAAATCTAGAGAACTTTTGTTCACAATTGCCCTGTCCCAGATAATAGGCCAAGTACTTTAAGGTGTGGGTGGAAGAGAACAGGAAGTATATTGATAAAGATAAACTGGGTGGTCAGAAGGGCAGTAGATGGGGTGTTGAGGGAAGCTTCCCTCCCTCCACCATTTTTCTGATAAGGCTGTATTCTTGGATTTTACCCAAAATGGGTCAGCATGGTCCATGGGTTTCTGTAACTGACAACTTGGGTGTGTGTTCTAATAATACTGATTCAAGAGACTCACTTTAACCTCTCATGTTACAGGTGTTGCTGTGGGCGCCTAATAGGCCAGCATGTCGGACTCACTCCCAGTATCTCTGTGCTTCAGAATGAGAAAAATGAGAGTCGTCTCTCCCGAAATGACATCCAGTCTGAGAAGTGGTCCATCAGCAAACATACTCAGCTCAGCCCAACAGATGCTTTTGGGACCATTGAGTTTCAAGGAGGCGGCCATTCCAACAAAGCCATGGTAATAAAAAATTTTTAAAAGGCTGCTCACTCATTCCTGGATACAATTTCTCATCCTGTAAAGGAACAGCTGAGAGCCTGGGCTGTAGGTTTCAGGCTAGCTGGCCTCTGTCACTTCCCAGTAAAGTGTCTATAAAACAGGGGAAAGAAACCTTCCCCTGGACTTTTTAAATTGTTAGTATGAGGTCCCAATGAGCTAATTTTTACTTTGGTTAACTTGTATCATTGTATATGATCATGCAATTCAATGTCATTTCTGTATGTGTATACATAGTAGTGCCCATATCCATCACCTCTTAATTCACCTCCCCAATCAACACCTTTTTCATCTTCTTTCAACCACTCCTACATTCAGATCCACTGCTCTCTGCCCTTCTTGTATGAGAGAAAAGGTCATACTTGTCTTTCTGAATCTGGCTTGTTTTCTGTTTTCTGTTTCTGTTTCTGTTTTCTGGCTATTTACAGTTTGTAACATTATTTTCTATGTCTCCTTTACTTAGCCTTTTTCTAAATCACTTACTTCAACTTTGGGGAGAGAGAGAGAAAAAAAAACCATGTTTCATATAGGTTTCTATTTTGTTTTATTAGCAGCATCTCCCAGGCTGTTTCCTTCCCGGTCTTAACAGAGATCCTGAAATCCATATCATGTACCTTCTCTCCAAGTATCCAAGTTAATAATATTCTCAGTGGGAATGGAAAATACCTTTAGTGAGGAACTGAGAAATGTATAGGATTTTTGTCATGTCTAAATTCTAGTTCCTATAGACTACAATTAATGTGACTCTCAAACTTTTCAAAGAATGAAAAGTATAGCTAGTTTTCTGAAAATTCTGGAAGTTTTGTAGTTCAGCAGGCTTGCTTCTGGCTGTTGAAAGAGTTAGATAATGGGTACAAGACACCAACACAGCGCTGGATGTGTCAATGGATGTGAGTGAATTTAATCACCTTCTTATTTTTCCCACACTCTAAGAGAACTTGGAGAAACACTTGACTCATCCTTTAAAGGATGCCCCTTTGATCCATGCTTCTATTAATTCATATACTTTAATTTACATTTTCAGGCAATACTTGTATAATTCTGAAAGGTTAAACCTTGTAGCTTACTGGCTGACTTTTGAATAGGAATCTATTGGCATTTTATTCATAGCCTGGTATTGTCACTTGCTGATTGGGTGATTGTCAGTTTAAGCCTGGTTCTTAGTTTCCTTGCATGTAAAATGGGGTAGTAGCTTCTACTACATAGGACTATCTCAGGGATTAACAATGCCTCTGTGTATTAAGGGCTTTGAATGATGCCTGGTGCTAAAGCTATAGAAGGTTTACTCTGAGGTAAACTTTATAATCAATCACAATAGAAGTGTGCTCCTTAAGTCACAGAATTAGATAAATTCTGACATCTGACTGGAAACTCTTTGTTCAGCCATTTAATTTGCATGAGCCTCAAGTGCTCTTCCTAGAAAGCTGATAAAGTTGCCTTTTGTGAGGTGCATGAGGATGATAGACACCGGATCCATACATAGCTAGTGCTCAATAGATGTATGAAAATGATAGAGATGGGTCAGGGGGGAAAAATGTCCTGTACTTCCTGGAAACCTTAAGATCCATTAGAGTATTTCCACAGGGGCATCAGCTTTCCTGTGTCTATAGTTTCTCTCTGTTCTGTGAGGAACAGCATTAGTGACAGTCACCATCTGGAAAGTCAGCTAGAGGTTTGTGAACTGATGTCCACATTCTCTCTAGCCCCAGCAGTCACTCATACCAGCAAATCAGAATGAGTTACGTTACCTGGGGTACTTCCTTCCCATCTTAGTCCTTGTCTACTTCCATCACTAACCTGCTGTGGATGTGACATTAGAATGAGCACAGCAAGCACCTTTTTGTTGTATAACTTTCCTCTACAGGAAATTCTTTTCATCTCCTAAAAATTTCTAGTGAACTTGAGAGACAACCCCCCCACCCCTCTCCAGAAGCCTGAAGAACAAAACTCAAACTGAGTTTATTAGCATGTGCCCTTCAAAGTGTTCAGAAAAATGCTTCTGAAATTTCTTTCATAACCTGTAATGAATAATAGTCATGATCATAAATGAGTAGCCAACTATTCTGCAATATTTTCTCAACACGTACTGACAAATTTTGTTGAGAGCTGTAATCAAACCCATGCATGATCTGCAAGTACATACCACTGAGCTATGTCCCAGTTCTCAGATACTAAGAATTTCAAGACAAAACCATAGGGAAGTGAACTCTAAGCACTGCATTTCTGGGCACTGTTTTCCACATAACTGTGATGCTGGCCCTGAGGTCAGAGTGGCCCTAGGTGGTCTAAGGGCAGTCACTCTAAGGGCAACCCTTTCTTTCTGTCCAAGCCTAATTAGCCTAATGAAGCCCAGCTTTGCTTTTCATTATTACTGGGTATTTAGCGAGTGGAAATCCCCAGCATTCATTCAGACACAAACAAGCATCTTGTGCACTCTGAAAGCTCACCCCAGAGTTGTTCTCCTTCTAAACAAAGAAGTGGTGCTGTCAGGCCTGATTTTACGAGGCAGGGCAATGGATGCCTGCCAACCTAAGCCTCCCTTGCTTCCCAACCTCTTGAGCAAACCAGCAGTTTAGATGGACAGACTTGGCACCCACTTCCTGTGTAAAAAAGCCAGTCTTCATGAGAGCACTGTATGGTTAATTATTCTACAAAACTGCAGCTAGACAGGCTAGTAAACTTAATGTGCCTTTGGGCCATCGCTTCTGAAAGGTGTCCTTGAAGCAATTTTTTTTTTTTTTTTTTTTTTTAGCAAAGTCATCAAAACACTCCAGGGGCAAGATTGACTTTTTTTTTTTTTTTTTAATTAAGGGAAGATATAACATTAACTTTTTCCTTCAAGGCAGCCCAGGATATAGCTGTAGTTTTTTCCAAATGCTAAGGTGGACTGCACACAGTAAGGCAGGCAGCAGGGGGCACAGACTCGGGATTAAAATGCCTCCAGTTATTTGAGAGCCATAGCTAGGTGTCTGTCCTACCACATGTTTGGGACAGCAGTGTATCACAGACCCTTAAGCATCAAAGGCACTTGGGGGTCATAATCAGTGGTTCTTGACTTGGGGGCACAAAATAACAGGGAAGGCCGTTACAAACGGCCATATCTAAGATTCACAGCTGGAGTCTCATTTATTAGCCTTGGTGAAAACATGGGCATCCAAAGCTCTCTGGATATATACATAGCAGCTATTCTGCAGCCTTGGAAAATTTAATCTGCATCCCCTCTTCCTACAGTACAGATGAGATCATTGAAGCCCCAAGAAAGTAAATTATTTTCCCAGAGAAAGTTCTTGAACACAGCTTCCTAATGACCCCCTTTCCATCCTTCCTTTCTTTGTCATGTGTGCCTAGGACAGATGACAGTTACTTGGAGGTGACTGAAAGGAAGTTAATTACTATTGTACTTCTACCTTTTTAATAGGGGTTTTATCCTGTTTTGTAGCAGCATTTTTAAATCACTAATATTTAATGAGGTTAATTAAACTTTAAAAGCTTTGAGCAGGGGGAAGTCCTTGCAAAGTTACATCTTAGATCATTAGAATCAGTTGCCAAGTTCTTTCAAGTGTCCTGTGGCATTGAGAACTCAGTGTCCAGGCTTAACCCACACTGTGCAGAGAGAAACTATGGCAAAGGAAGGAGCCAATCCTAGCTGACAGTGAGGAAAGGAGCTGGACATCCTGCCTGTTCCCAAAATGTGTCCTTCAACATGACACACCCTAAACCATCCTGGATTCTCTGAGCACCAGATCGCTTACAGGGATATCTCATAATTTTCAAACCACCTTAGGCCACAGAAAAAAAGGCCCTGTCAGCAGACATCGTGAGGATTCATGGAGACTTGTCTATTGAGGGCTCCCACATGATTCATAAAGTGAGCAGAATATGGAGTCACTTGTTTACAAACCATCTCTTCTAATTAATGCAGAGCTGTCTTGTGGGCCAGGTAAGACTAAACCTAATTAAGGGCTTGCAGTTAAACCTCTCAAGCCAGCTACACAATTCTCTTCTGGCTCTCCTGTTACTTAATCTGCCTATTAGATCATGTGGCATCCCTCAGTACAGTTTTCATATAATTCAGAAAATTGTCCCTAGCCCTTGTTTTCACACTGAAAGCTCTGTCTATTAATCCCACAAGGGTGAATTCTTGCTTTCTGAGCTCAGAGGGAGGAGACCATAGAGAAGGGAGGTGGCCCCTGTTAGCATGGTGTCTGTAACCATGTACTCTCAGAGAGTTTCAGGGATGGAATTTGAGATTTAAAAATTTTCCTTCTTTGCATTCTGCAAACTTGATCTGGGAACCCTTGATTAACAAATGCCATGGAGGAAATGATTAAATGATTCTTCTTCACACATATGAACAGCCACTCATTGCACTATAGCTAACACTAACACAAAGCTTCCTCCAGCCTGATGGGGCTCTGGAGAAACCTTGGGATTGCTCCACTGATTCCAGTTTGCACCTTGCAGTCTGAAGGCTGCTAAGCTGGCAAATGGATCAGATGGTCTCTCTGAAATTAAGAATTAAGGTAGAGGTGGGGTACAAGTTAATCCCAGCACTAGGGAGGCAGAGGCAGTTTGAAGCCAGCCCAGTCTACAAAGAAAGTTTCAGGACAGCCAGTAATGTTACACAGAGAAACCCTGTCTCAAGAAACAACAACAAAAATAATGTAGAATGTATGGTTGATATTTCTCATCCAGATTATAGGTATGTAAAGTAGGCTAAACTAAATCTCCTCAGGAAACCATCCCACTTCCTTGCTTCTAGAAAATGCTATACTGACTTAACTCTGACAGAAATCCCATAGTCTAACCCCCATGGCCTCTGTATGTGTTTTGTGTTATTATATGTTATTTCTCACTATTGTGCTTCCCAATGCCAACATTAATCATATAAATGTCTAATACCTAACATTGGGAAACTTCAAAAGTAATGACACTTCTACTCCCAAAGATTTGAGTGTCATCAA